TCGAGAATATTAGGAAAGAGATGTGCTGGAAATGGAATATTTGGACTTGAGATGCCTGTGGTTAACTGTATTTATTCATTCACTTCCTTCAAACCTTTGTTCAAATCTCCCTTTCTCAGTGAGGTTCTTTTGAACATCTAATTTAATCCTTCAGCCCTCCGTCTTGTCCCCATTCCTGATCCCCCTTATCTTGCTCTACTTTTTCTTTAATCTTAGCACTTAACATCTTCCATTGATTAACATGTTCATTGACCATTGCTTATCTGCTATGATGGGAGCTCCTTGAGGATAAGGATCTTGATCTCTCCTGTTCACAGATGTATTCCAAGTACCTAAAACAGTGCCTTCTTTTTAGTAGATGATCAATGACTATTTTCAAATGAATGAATGAGTGAATTTAAGGAACTCAACAAATACATATCGAGAACCAACTATGTTTTGAACTCCTGTGTGTATCTTAGAAATGTTTAGTAGATTCCAGGATGCTCAATAGAAAGTGAATACATGTGACTCTGAGGCTTGAGGAATGGTCTAGGCTAAAGTTATAAAAGTGTGTATCAGTACTAAGCAGGTCGTGTTTGCACTGTGGCATGAATAATACCCCTTAGTGAGATCATTTTAAGAGGGGGCTCAGGATTGAGTCTAGAGATTAACAAAAATTAGGGGAAGGTGTGAGGTGAGAAATTTGAATGGAGAAAGAGTAGGAATAGCCAATGAAAAAGCACAATAAAAAAAAGGGTCGTGGCATGGAAATTGAGGGGGACTAAAAATAATTTTTGTAGGAGAGAGTTATAAAAAGTATGAAATAAACAACATTATTCAAGTAAAGCCAGAATTGTCATTGAATTTATTAGAAAGATGGTTGCAACGGAATTAATTGTATTCACATTTGGAAGCTCTTACCCCTAATATGACTGTATTTAGAGATAGGGTCTTTATAGAGGCAATTAAGGGTAAATAACTTCATAAGGTGGGAGGGATTGCAAAACAAATAGGACTGGTGTCCTTGAGAGACACCAGGATTGCACTTGCAAAGAGGAAAGGCCATGTGAGGACACAGAGAGAAGGCAGCTGTCTGCAAGCCAAGGAGAGATACCTCAGCAGAAACCAACCTTGCCCACACTTGGATCTTGGACTTCTAGTCTCCAGAACTGTGAGAAAATACATTTCTGTTGTTTGAGCTACCCAGTCTTTGGTATTTTGTTATGGAAGGTTTACCAGGCTAATACAATGGCCGTTATTGATATCGGAATAATAACATTTTCAGGTAGTAAAAGCTGATATCATAGAGCAGTAGGGTAGGGAGAGAATGGGGAGAGTACACTCCCCTTTATATAGAACTGTGGCTAATTGTGGGGGAAAGAAATTGCCCAGAAACCAGAGAGGCTGTGTTGAAACCCTAGGAGAACACAATTAAATCGTGGTTACCATAAATTTCCAAGAGATGAGTTGATCATCTTCACACTATAATATGCATAATTATGCATGTTGATTAGAGCATATTTCTTTGTTTTGTAACTGAAGGAAATCTTGGGAGAGTTTTTAATTTGAACCAGGCAGGAGAATCTTACAAGGACATTAGCAATGAAGTTAGCATTGGCACTCTTTTGGTGGGATTTTAGAGTCACTAAATCAGCTGGACTTCACGATCTAAATTATATCATGTTGATGCTATGCCCCAAGTTTTAGAAGAAAGTTTAGGGTTGTTTGAAGTCATCTCTCAGAATTTTTTAATGCACATCTAGGGTTTTTTTCTCAGACTTTATCACTGACAGTTTAAAGTCAGGACCAAGTTTTTCTTTCTGGAGGGCATAGTTTACACCTACTAATAGAACTTTCCTGAATTAGCGTGTTATACTTTTCAAAGTGAGTTTGAAGTTATCCTAATTCTTCTCTCCCTCCCAAGGAATTTGCTCTTGCAGGTACTCCACATCTTCCCTGAATCACCCATTTCCCATCACAATACAAATGCATTGTTAGTCTCCAATATTCAAAATAGTAGTAATAAAACACACTTTCTACCCACATTGTCCAAGGTATCGGTAATTTTGTTCTTCTATCTTCTCTACGATACTCACTTCTTAGATGGTCTCATGGTGATTCTCAGGTATACACATCATCACCTCTAAGCTGATGACTCCTTAACCTTCCCCTGCACTTTTCTCTGGTAAACCTAGGCATTAATAATTAACATATCCAAAAAAAGGAAGCATCTTGATTCTCACTACCATCTCTAATCTAGTCCTTACCATTAATATTCTACCAATAAACAGCTTAATTGACCCAGGTGCTCATGCCAAAACTCATCAATCACCCTTGAAACATTTTTCTCAATCCATCACTAAAGTTGTGTTTGCTCTACCTTAAAACGAGACACCAATTTAAAAAACAAAACAAAGCAAAATGAAAAAACAAAAACCCATGGTCTCATAAAGGCTGGTGCAGTTAGCCAGGGGTGGTACTTATTGCCCAAAGCTTCCAAAGGGTTCACTTATTCCCTGTGTTTCCAGTGGCCCCCGCACAGCCCCCATTCCCTTGTGTGAAGTGTATGTGATTTCAAGGAAAGATTGAAGTTTTGACAGCAGATCTTTCCCGTCTTTTCCTCAAATACCCTTCCTCTCCAAATGTCTCAAGTTCATCCCCACAGCTGACATGGGAACCACTTGACTACATTGAAGATGCCCTGCCGGTGATTTAAAAATGTACAAAAGAGGTAAAACATCTATATAAATAAAGGAGACCCAGGCCTCCTGGGTTTCTAGGGACTGCCTCCTGGCCACTTCTCAGCTGCACCACGGGGCCCTAGACTTGTTCTGCCTAATTTTCCCACAGCACAAGCCTTGCAGCCCTTGGCGGGGCTTGTTCTGGCTGAGACAGCCTAACCCACTAGGCGCTTCCCGATGCTTCCCAGCTGGGCCAGGGGCATTCGCCAAGGGCGAACCCTGCCAGAGAGCATCTGGCCTGCCCCAATAGATACCGCGTTTGCTCCACAAGCAGTTCTGAGACAGATAACTCGGACCTCCTGAGGCTGTAGCCCTTGTGGCCACGCCATTGCTTACCCCACCTGCCAGTGAGTAGCAGCACAGGTGCATCCTGGATGCAGTTGCCAATTGATAAGGACTTGAGGTAACTGGCAGTGGGAGTTTGTCTTTGAGGGGTACAGGAGTGTAGGAGACAATGGCCTGAGCATGTGGCTGGGCCAACAGGTCTTTTCCATGCTGTGCTGCATGAACATGATGCCGGACAGTTGAGTGAACGACTTGATGATGCTGAGGTTGTACAGCTGGCTAACCTTGAATAAGGTTGGACAGTTCTTTTCAGTGCAGGCACACCTGTTCTATCACGACTTGCTATTTGAAGGCCAGGTGTGGCAAGTTCCCAGCCAGGATCCTGGAGACCCTGGGGGGCATGCTCATTGATCTCCTCAATACACTCATTTGCGCTATAAAAGGACCTGCTGTTAGTGATGCCATACACCAGGAGGATCCCCTGAGCGCCCCTGAACACCGTGCGCAACCTGTGCTGACCAGACATGTTCGAGAACTCCAGCTTGACCCACTGGCCCCACTGCAGGATGGTAGTCATCTAGTAGTCGATCCAGTTACTGCAGGATTAACGCAGCCTAGGCGGTACCTTCTTGAATGCGCTCCAGGATCTTGCTGTGGCCCACGTCGCTGTCATCCATCAGCAAGAACTTGAGCAGGTAGCTATAGCTCTTGACCAGACTGCTCTTGGTCCCCATCCTTGATCATGTGCACACAGGACGCAACCCTATGCTCAGGGTGCTGACTGGGTAGGAGGCCAAACGACATCCCCTGGGAGCCCTCAGACCAACCTACTCGTGGTATTTCAGGGAGGCAGTGCAGGGCAGTCCCTCCTCGGCACCACCTGTCTCATCTCACCCTGAGGTTCCTGCTTCTGCTAACAACTTCCGTACCATTAGCATGTCTTTCATGGGTAACTGAAGTAGTCCCTAAACCAGTATTCTTGCTTATTCTGCTCTTGCTTCCATGATATATTCTCCATATAATAGCCAACATGATACTTTACAAATATAAATCATATCAAGTCTCTCTTGTCATAGTCATTAGTACTACCCACTGACCACATTGTCCCCATGCCCCTTTGGATACCTGGTAGGATTGTGTTTACCTACCTTCTTCTGGTTGAGTGGGATTATGTGGCTTGTTCTGGCCAATAATTGTTTTTAAAGATTTTATTTATTTGAGAGAGCGAGCACATGAGCAGCGGGGAGGGGCTGGGGGAGAAGCCAGCTCCCCACTGAACAGGGAGCCCGATGCCCCAGGACTCTGGGATCATGACCTGACCTGAAGGCAGATGTTTAACCAACTGAGCCACCCAGGCACCCTTGGCCAATAAGTTTTAAGCAAAAATGACAACTGGATTACTGAGGCAGAGTATTTAATTGCTGTTTCAAGACCCTTCCCACTGTTCCTTGTGGAACAAAATACGTTAACACCTCACCATATTTTCCTCTGCATATTGGCTGTGGAGAAACTGTGTGCATTTTAAGTTCAATTCCAGAAGCTGTGTTGATCCTTACTGTTGGAATATTGCCTGTAGCCTCCCAACTCAAACCTCTTCAGGCTACCATATATTCAGAGAGGGTAAATTGCATCCTCGTGCCTAAGGTGTATGTGTGACCGTGTGAAAGAGATAGAAGGAGAAAGAGTATATGTTGAGGTCAGGGAAAGCAGATGAAAGGAGGAGCATCAGGATCCAATGAAACCAATCAGACAGATTGTGGCTCAAATCCCACATCTACCATTTGATTGTCAGAACTTACATATCCTCTGTAAGTTTAGGTCTCCTCATCTGTAAATTGGTAATGAAAATACCCGCCTCATAGAGTTATTGAGAGGATCAATAAAAATACCTAAGTAATTAGTATAATGTCTGGTTCTTAGTAAAAGCTCAATAAATGGTAGCTCTGATTGTACTTTTTATTAATATTATTGAAAAAAAAGATGGTGGGGGAACATCCCAGCAAAAAAAGTCAACAGCCTCAAAATGGAACTATTAGGGAATTGTCTTTAACATACTTTATGAGATAAGGTTGTGCAAAGCTTCAAACTCCAGGACAACTGTGACATGGTAATGTTTTTCCTCCAACAATTCTTTTTTTTTTTTCTATCTCTTTCTATTCTTTCAGGATTCATAACTAATTGTGGCTATCCATTTGCTCGTGTAATCATTCATTCTTTTATTCATCATTCATTCATTCAAAGGCATTTACTATAATCTGCTTTGTCCAGACACTGAGTTAGGTGCTGGGGACATAATAGTTAATACAAGCACAGCTCTGCCTTTATGGAGAGCATAGAGAAAGAGACAAAGTCTATTACAAATGGTAATTGTACATGCCTCCTCTTATTGCAAGCAACAGTGACCCGGTGAGCTCTCACACAAAGGTCTTAATGAATCCTTCTAGGATTATTTATGACTAATGAAAAGCTCCTAAAGAGGTGAAATCTTAATCCAAATACATGAATCTCTAATGACAGAAGTCCTGCTAATGTGGCAGCAAGAGTAAAACAGATATTTAAATCAAATGTTCTGCCAAGAACCCCTCAAGTCCCATGACACAGTTAACTCTTATTCTGCCAGGAAGTAAGGCTTTGCTATTCTTTGTACACAATGGTTGTTAAACAGTAAAGGATGTTCTCAGCCCCATGCCCCCCAAAGTGACACTTTCCCTCGTTATACATAAGCTTAAGACAAGCAGAGTCAGTTTTCTATTTTAAAGATAAAAAGCTCTTCTTGACTGGATGAGCAAATGAGGATCCACAGTTGGAGGAACAAGAAGCTTTTTAACTCTAAGCTGAGAAATTTACACATGGAAATATGGAAAATATAATTAAACTACAAAAGGAAATGTAATTCAAGTTGAATGGAATTAAATGTAAAAATAGTCCTCAAATCTTGCTGCACATTAGAATCACCTGAAGATCTCTTTAAAAATGCTCATGCTCCATTTTAGACCAACTGAATAAACATGTTTGGGATCTGGACATTGGATTTTTTTTCTTTTAGATCTTCCAGGAGATTCTACTATGCAGCCCAGGTTGAGACCACTGGAGCAGAGGAGTCACAGGGACTGAAGATGAACCCTGAAGGCTCAGCCAGATTTTGATACATGGAAAGGAGTAAAAATGGCAGTCTGGCAAGAGACTGGTGTGAGAACAAATAATCATACTTGAGTATTTCCCCACTTTGGGCTGTGAAGAGATGGCCTGACCTAAGCTAATGCCTCCTGATGAAAAGGTAGAAGGTAGGTCTGGGTTGGATGTACAGGAATTCTTCTGCCACAAATATCCTTACTTCAAGTTCTAATGTAGTCATGAAGTTTTCCTTGGCTAGCTTTTTGGGAACAATGAAAATTTTGGTTGCAGTGAGTTTGAGGTACTTCTGTTGAATCTGGAAATAAGGGGAAAAATGATTCAGAAATCAAAAATAAAAGATAAAGAGAAATTTTTAACCAAGAGGATTTTTGTTTTTGCTTCCCCCCCCCACACCCCACTCCCATGGGTCTCCTAAAGGAGAGAAAGCACTGAAATAATTGAGGCACTAAACCTGGGTGACAAGTCAGTGTCTCCAGAGGTCAAGCAGGTAGCACAAATGGTGGTAGACTACTGTGAGGCTCCCCTTACTTAGGGCCCTTACCTCAGGAGCTCTGCTGGCCAAGGTGGGAATTTCCAAAGAGAACCCTGAGAGGAAGTGATCATAATTCAAAATTAATTGTATATTTATTTTTTCATTCTTTCCTTTTCTCTCTTTCCTTCCTTCCTACCTTCCTTCCTTCTTTTTTTTCTTGCTAATTTAGGATATCTAAATCATAATTGGTATTCCCTTTTTGTTCCGTATATTTTGTCTTATTTCAGAGAATATGAAAGTATTTATAGGAAGTTCTGTAGTTTCACTTACAAAGTTAACACTCTACCCTAATTTCTCTATAGGACAGTAAATTCTCCAAACCTGAATTCTAACAAGGTAAAGATTCCAGAAACCTAAATCAGGCAGCTGGAAATAGACACCTATATAGTTAGAAGTTATTCCAGTTAGTGTTTGACAAAACTTATGCTGGCTAATTGAACATAATAAAAAATTTTAAGAAAACGTAGTAATAGTTAAGGCTGTTACCCATCCTAATTCTTTGCATTGCCAAGTTTAAAAACTCTGCTAGTAAGTATAAAAGCATAGCTCAGTTAAGGATACAGTCTTAGTGGGAGTTGATCTGTTAGACTCTGCTATATCTTCAGGAATTGAAGGAGTTAGAGAAAAACAATTTACCAAAATTTGTCTTATGATGAGTATTACTTGTAGTTAAAAGGAACAATGTTATAGGATACTTTGGGTTAGGATGGTGAGGCTGTTATTCAGCATAACTGAATAATAGCAGGTGGTAACTAGATGACCTTCTAGAGGAGGAGGTGACAGTTAATGCAAGGATTTATTTTACTGAGTAAGTTTCCAAATTTGACTGCTGTCCTCAGCATTCTTTTTTCTCTTTCCTCCCTTCACAGCACTTTATTTTTTCACTATATAAACATGGAATAAATTTTTTTTTATATTTTTAATTTTTATTGAAATATAATTGATATAGTATTTCAGGTGTATAACATAATGATTCAACATTTCTATACGTTACTCCAGGCTAATCACAATAAGTGTATTCTTAAATCCCCTTTATCTATTTCACCCATCCCCCAACCCACCTCCCCTGGAGCAAATATTTTTAAAAAATATGAGTTTAGAAATGTGCCAAATGTTAGTCTTACTTGGCTGGTCACATTATCATCTCCATCTCTGCCTTCAACCTTATCTTCTTGAAGAGTGTTGGTGTCCTGAATCCTCCTTTATGCCCTTCCCAATATTTTGCCTTTTGTACCTATCACTGGACAGATTGTAAAATGAGCCCTACCCCCATGCCTCCAGCCTCCCTGTTTTTGTGCTCTTTTGATAATTCCCTTTCCTTGACTGTGGGTGGGACCTGTGACTTGATTTTTACCAGTAGGATATGGCAAAAGCAAAGGCTGTCACTCCCATATTTAAAATGACCTTGGTGGGCGCCTGGGTGGCTCAGTTGGATAAGCGACTGCCTTCGGCTCAGGTCATGATCCTGGAGTCCCGGGATCGAGTCCCGCATTGGGCTCCCTGCTCACCGGGGAGTCTGCTTCTCCCTCTGACCCTCCCCCCATCTCATGTGCTTTCTCTCTCATTCTCTCTGTCTCTCAAATAAATAAATAAAATCTTTAAAAAAAAAAAACAAAAAAAAAATAAAATAAAATGACCTTGGTAGCAAAATTGTTGTAGAGACTCACCCTGCTAACATGAAGTTAGCAGCCATTGGGGAAAGTCTGCATGGTGAGGAATTGTAAATTGTAGGCAGGTTCTAAGAACTGAGAGCAATCCCAGCCTCCAACCAGTAAGAAGCCAGGGCCCTCAACCCTGCAGCCACGAGGAAAGTAAAGTCTGCCAACAGTGGTAGTAGGTTTGGATATGGATACTTTCAAGCCTTCAAATGAGAACTCAATCCAGCTGACAACACACTGATTGCAGCCCTGTGAGACCTTAAATAGGGGACTCATTTAAGAGATGGCCAAATTTCTGACCCACTAAAACTGTGAGATAATAAATATGTGTGTTGTTTTAAGCTCCTAAATTTAAATTTGTTTAATTTGTATAATTTGTTACATAGCAACAGAAAACTATTATACCCATTCAGAAGTACAAATCAAAATGATGCTAAAGATGGCCAGGTATAAGTGTTAAGACTCCATCTTATCTGTAGCATTTGTTCTGAGGTTGGAGGTTCTTTCAGTAATTCATTTACAAAAGGTTTGGTGTGTGGAGTTATCACTCTGACTCACTTGAGGCCTGGCAAGCTGAAAAACAAGTGGGAATCAGGCAATTTGAGGACACTTTTAATGATTAAACATATTTCACACCATTAAAGAAAAATAGGTCAATGCAATTCAATAATTTTTCACCAGCATGAGAAAGATTAGCTTTACCCGGTGGATATTGGCTTGTTATTGTAGTTACTGTAATCAATATAAGAAGAAATGAAAACTCCAGTGTTTGAGCCAGACCAGTTCATGTCTTTTGAAAGCTATTTAAGGATAGATTGATCACCTGAAAAAAAACAAATGAAAAATGCCAGCTACTCAATTCAAAACAGTATGTGTGTGTGTACATATAACTATGTACTGATTAATCCCATCTAAATTCTATTACCTACCTTCTAAATAAAAGGTCAAGAAAGTCCTGGTATATGCACACATTTTAAAAAGGATGGCACTGAGTCCAGCTGCATTACTTTCCTTTGTAGGAAATAAGTGGCAGTCCTGGATGACAGATGAAATTATCTAATACAAATCAAATATAGGGTGTGGAAAGAAGACTCTTGGGAAACTCTCCAAATGCAAGTATTCCAAAGAATAACTTTAACCCAGTATTCTTTATATAGGGCACTTTAGGGACATTAACTTCATTTCAATCACTGTTTTCTAGGACAGTCCAGAGTTGAACATAATATATATCCAAGGAAAACTGTAGACAATAAGTTTCATAGTTAAGAATATAGCTTATGTTTGCCTATAGTTTTATAAGGATGTTTATGTTAATAATCTCATGAAATGTAAGCCTGAGACAGTACATTTTCCATTCTCCATTTGGAAAGAGAAAGAGAATGAGAAAGAAGAAGGGAGAGAGATAGAGAGAGAGATAGAGAGAGAGAGAGAGAGAGAAAGTGAGCACAAAGCCAAGATGAAAGTGGGAATTTTACACTTTCTTCCCTAAGGACTTACCATCATCTTGTCCCATTTTATTAACACCTATGCATATGTAGACAGAACTTTTGCCCATCTACCATCCAGACACACCAAGGAGAAGGAAGAGACTCATCAACTTTTGTCAAGAAAATCCTAATTCTTTATATCATCAGTCTTTCATAAGCGCAGCCAGTAGGTTTTGAATCTTTGAGCTCTAGACTTGATACTTAGAGGGGAAATAACTGGAGCCCAAAGAGATGGTGTGTCTTATCCAACAAGAGTAAGAGTTGGCCTATAGTAGAAACTACCTACAATTCCCTGAGATCTTACTCTGTTCTAGCCTCTTCATGTACATCATCTTTAATGCTTCCAAAAAGCTTTGTGCATACAAGGAAATGGAAGCTCAGAGTGTTTAAGGTGTTTGCTTATAGTTGCACAGTTAATAAATGGAATCTGAGTGATTTAAAGCTAGGTCTCTTTAATTCTAAAGTCCATACCCCTTTCATTAAAGTAGGCTACTTGTTGAGAATCCAGTTCTCTTCATTCCCAGTGATGGCGACTTTCTGGTCAATGAGTCTGAGTCCAGAGTTCTAGGTCATAGATAAAGTCAAAATGGGTCTTTATCCTATGAGGATTTATCCAGAGATTGTTTCTCTTTCACAAATGTTTAGAGCATGGGCTTGTGAGAAGACAGATGGACAGCTGCTCCCTTGCAGAGTGTGTATGTGTACATACAGTCACATTGCTCTCTCTGATGTTTCTGCATAGTGATATATGCTTTAAATTATTTTATTTTTGATTTTATTTGAATTGTTGCCTTTCACTGACTCTATATGCAGGCTTTCATCAGCATGTATTAAAGAAAAAAATTAAGATGCCTGTTGGAAAGTTCACAGTGACTGGGCCAGCATGAGCCATTTCAGTCCTAGCTAGACTGTTTCTTCCTTAGGGTATCAGTCTGGAGTCATGGAGCCTGAACTTCCTTGATGTTTCTCTTCAGGAAGAGAAACAAAATTTCACAACCACCAAAGGACCCTACCAAACACACCAGACTTTGGGTGGAGCCAGGTGTACAGTGTGGCACAGGGCAGCACAGTGCATATTACAGGACAAATGGAAGGCTTTTCTTGGAATTTCAAGAACAGAAGGTGCAGACAGACAGTAGTCTCTCAGCCATGCTTTAATGAGCCAGGGCCCTTGGCTGCCTGGGTGCTCAGTAACAGGAAGTCTGTGCAGTGAGAATACAAGCAAAGGATGTTCGTACTTTGCTTGGGCAGGTGTTTCCAAAGGGAGGGAAATATGACTCATGACACTAAGTTGACCCTGCTGCCATCACCCTTGGAAAACCATTTGTGGGCAGAGATCTATGCTGTTTATAAAAATAACATGAGCAGCAGCTTCAGCCGCAGGAAGCTTCATAAGGATAGATAAAAAGGAGGATTACAGAAGCTAAAGCTTTTGTTTAACGAGAGATTACAAAGCATTTAGGTCGGATCAAGTTGTCCGGAAGATTAACTGCTAAAATTTGCCCCTTTTCTTTGCTCTGTGATGAATTTTGCTCTTAAACTTAGTGCTCAAATGTGAAGATGAAGATGAGGCTGTATTTGGAATAACCACAAATGAGATTGTTGGTCTCTTCCCCTTCTGTTAATATGAATTTGGGAAACATGAAGATTAGAAGAGATTCCAACATTAGTTTTTCTAGTAACAAGGGCAAGTGCTTTCTAAGTACTTGAATGTGAAGAGGAAATCATGCAGCAGGAAAGTGGATGCAACAAGGTTAACACTATAGAGATTTTCATAAACTTATGGTTTTGGGGTTGGAAATTGCCCAAGGTATAGACTGCCTCTGTTGGGAGAATAAAAAATATAGGTTTAAAAACATTCAATCTATTTCCCACTTCTGAGGCTGAATTGGATTGACTGCATGGCTG